AAATTGTTGCTATTGCTCGCTTTCAAATCGTTGAGTTTGTTACTCAAAAATTCGTTAAAGTTTTACAAAATATGAAATCAATCATAAAACAAATTCTAAATTTCAAATTTGGACTTCCAGACGCCCATATTCGCAGTAGGATTACGTCATTCAAAATTCGCTGGCTGTGTATACCGTTTTTTTTTATCACAACGGGAGAAATATACATACATTTATGCAGATTTTCATTATTTAATTTCTTCAAATATAATACAGGGCGATAGTATTTGGTGGCAACGATTTGAAAAGTGATGCAGCCTTTTAAAGTTTTCAACTCAAAATCGAAAAACAAAAGCAATAGACCTTCAGGGACAAAGCCCATTTGGACTAAAAATAAGATTCTTAGACCTGCATCTCTTAATATTGTTCTTACTTATGCTTACTTGTCTGACAGTAAGTAACATGAACCTAAGCCCACGAAATTCCTCGTGGTAAGGAGCGCACAAGATACGCCTGTTGCTGGCAATAGTTGCCGTTGGCTTGAGCACCATGCAGGCGACAGTGCGATTTAACTCTGTTTCGCTCCCCCCCCCCGATTTTGATGGACATCCCCCCAGGGGAACGGGTCCGAGGGTGTCCCACCCATCTCCTCTTCCACCAATCCACCCGAGAGAACGATTTAGAGTGCCGCCATGAGTACAAAGAACCATGCCTTCTCCGGGATTCGAAACCGGGCCCTTCGGCACGGCAGTCAGTGACGCTAACCACGATACCGGTTGAGCGGCAGAACTGCATCTATTGCTTTTAAATAATTTAGCTATTTGATTAATAACAGACAAATTAAATATATTAAATATGAAAGAATAATATCTTACGTTTTTCCGAACGGCAGCAGACTGCAAGGAAAAGTCTAAAACGCATTTACAGTTTACCTCGCAAAATCACGTTTCGAGACTAATAGCCCATTTGAGCTAAAAACTAATTATCAGCTTAGAGGTGTGTACAGTTCTGTTGTGAATTTAAAGCGGCCGAGCGGTAGTGTCGCTGTGCGCTGGTAGTTCGGTCCGGGGTTGGAATGGGCTGACTGCATGCGCATTTTCGTGATTTCCCCATGTAGAGCGTATAATGCTAGACAGTTTGCCTTAGAAAGTCCTTCACGAAGTCCTTTCCATTAGGCAGATAGTCCTCTAGCGCTTTGCTGTCATTAAATAAACCAAACCAAACATATGAATTTAAATTGATATGACTTTCGCAGACAATAGAACAGTTATGCTCCGGAATCGGAACTTTAGAATGTTGTAAAAATTCGACATAAAATTTGTACGAATAGTTTTGTTCGTAATAGAGTAGTTATATTTTTGTGCTTTTATCACTTATTATTGTGTCTAAATAAAATTAATTAATACTGCTAAAATTAATTTATTTTGAAGAACCTAGCTTATCCAAAAACCATTACTAAGTAAAATTAAAGTAAATTCGGGAAGACTCAATAAAGTTTAGCAAGAAATATTAAATGGAATAAGAAAGTTCACCAGATGAAAAAACTTTGATATTCTTTATAACTGTTAGTGTAAGTATTTGAATATAAGTATTTGAAAATACTATAAGCATTTGAAATAAGTATACTATAAGTATTTGAAAATGTTTTCATGAAAAAAAAAAAAAACTTGATTATATACTGTCAAATTATAATCGAAAAATATAAATCCAAAAAATATAACTTAAAAATGAAGAAGGAAGGGGAGGTGGAGAAGGCGACCTAAATAAATGTAAGCTGCAGACTAAATACGCAGATCCTACTTTGCACCAAACACCATTCAAAGTAAGGTTTTCCACTGTCCCTATTGTACCTCGTCCAGTGACCTGCTGCTCGTAGAAATACAAAGTAGATTTCAAATTTTAATAACACTGCGCTGTGAAATCACAAACGCGATAATTCCAGAGGCGGATGAAGCTAAAAAAGAAATTGGATTAAGAATCAGGTCACAACATATTTTATAGTACTTTTGAAAACGTGCCTTGTTAATCAACTGTCATAGCTGCCGGTTGTTTCCGAATAGTGGATGAATATCGCCAACTGCGAGGTGACATTTATAAGGAAAGTTTGCGGTCATGTCTAAACTAATCAGAAGAAAGCATTCTGAAATGGTCATCGCAAGAGAGATAATTCTGTTAGTTTGCAACCTCGAGCTCGAAGTTCGCTGATACGTTATAATGAAGAAAGAATGTTTTGGGCCTCTCCAAGTTTGCTTCTGTGATAAAACAAAGGGGAAAAAAAGTCCAGAATTTGACACTGCGAGATCTGGCAAACAGATCTGAATATATAAGTAGGAGAGTTGAGTTGTTCTTAGCCTGAAATAAGTTTTCCAGAGAAGGTCATGAATGCGTAATCAAAACAAAATTCTACTATGCTCGCTATTTTTAGGCTTAGCAGTAAAATCTTGACATAAATTGCACTGCGGAATGTGATAAGTAACTGCAACTTCTGTTATGTCACAACTTCCACGTGATGTAGCTTGTTTAGGTAAAACGAGGAAGTAATCACTTTTTGGAGCTCCTGTTCATTAGGGCCAATCGCCTGTGGAATAGAAAACATTTATTCAAATTGTTTTAATAGCATGAAAAATAAATACGTATAAATAACTGAAAAATAAAATATTTTGAAATTATCGTTAACGAAAGAATTATTTCAGAACAGTTTTCTTAAAATAAATTTTGCACTGTAAAATGTAGCAGAATTTTATTGCATCATTAACGATAAACTATGAAAGAAATTCAATGCGTTACAGATTGTTACTAATACTTTGACTAGCATATTCAGAATGGTTAGTTTTCATTCTAATATTTTCTATTGTTATTTACTGCCCATGCAGGGATAGCTATAAATATTAACAAAATAAGGCCCAAACAGTTTTCAGTGTTTAGAAATCAAAGTAATATAATCTGAGCATTTTGAAATTTTCGATAGGTTTTAATTCTGAAAATTTTAATAGTTTAACTCACGATGGTGCTATATCAAAGCGAAATAAATGGCGATATCGGTTCTTGATTTTGAAAAACACAGAAGGATTATCTACCTTTGAAGAGCGGATTTTCATAATGACCTTCTTGAGGGAAAATGATTCGATCATTAATGGGACGTGAAATTAGTGATTGGATGAATATTATTTCAAGCTAGGCATAAAAATAGATATACTGATATTACGTTAAATCATCGAACAGGTTTAAAAATAAATTTTGCGTTGCAATTAAAGTTGCTTGCATGATTCGCAGCTTACACCAGAAAATAAAATCGGGAAATTAAGTGATTACGACTTACAAAAAAATTGAGCAATTCTATTGTACAGTGCCATAAATGCGGAAGAAGATTTAGTTAAAGTTTACAGATGATGATAACAGTGCATAATTAGTAGTGTTTAGATATCAGATAACTCCCAGATGATTTCATCCTTGTAAATGAAGGCAGGAATTACAGCTGTTAAAAAGTACATCGCCATCTTGAATGAAACAGAAGAATAGTGAAACAGGTAAAATGAAACCATTAGCAACTTTTTTTTATTCTTTCTAGTGAATTCTTTTGGAGCGACAACTCATCTTGCTGTGAAATTATAGCATTTATATCCGAGAAAGATTATGTTGGATATAAAGTGCAACGCCACAGATTTGCCGAAAGCGCAAAAGAACTCGGAATATATGAGGTTCAGAAAAAAAAAAAACATTCTTTAACTAAATAATTGTAAGGTAATTGAAGGTCTCAAATAAATTGTTTACCCCATTATTACTGTATTATTCTTCTATTTATGAGAAAAGTTTTATGAAGGAATAAATCATCTAAGGTACCAATTACATTGAATAGATATACAAATATCTTTTCACAATTAATTCGGACGCTATTTCTATCGTTAACAATAAAAACGGTGTTCAGGTAACTTATCTTCTTTCCTATAATTCGAAATTTTTTTTTTTTTTTTTTTTGTTGTTATAAGCTTGCATATCTAGCTCGTGTACGCAGTACGAAAAATATTTTGAAATTAGTTATTGGTTTACTAAAAGATGGTAATAATAGCTCCTTTAAGTGCGGAAAAGCTGCTGCAAAAATATAATGTTGAATGTAAAGAAGAAATTTTAATTCTTAATTCAGGAAAGTAAAATCATAATAAATTCTCAAAAATTATACGAAAGAACAATATCAAACCTTATAAAAATTAAAAATGTGAAATAACCGCTAAACCAAGATAAAAGAACTATTTTAGAAATAGCGTAGTATAAGGAAAAGAAAGTACAGTTTCAAGATTATATAAAAACAAACAGCAACGAAACCAATTCGAGATTATAATATATATATATAAATATATATATATATTATAATCTCGAGTTGGTACACATTATATGTACACAGAAACAAACTGAATTAAAAAAATGCCATATAATTTTAAAAGTAGTAAATGTTTCAGTAAACTAATTAACTATAATCGTAATTCATAACTATATAAAGTAGAGCGAGATTTCGTATGTACGTCTACATAAAGAGTATTTTTCTACTATTTCTAATGAATTTACTTCACTACGTTTAAAAGTGCATAGGATACGGGGTCCATGCCTTATTTCGAAAATATTAACACTTTAAGAAATAATTTTTAACTATTTGGAAATAGTAGAATTATATTTATAACATAATCCTATTTTATTTCCAAATACTTATAATTATTTTCAAAAACTGCAATGTAAAAATAATTAAGTCACATAACTTTTAGTTTAACTTAAATTTGAAATTAAATGTAAATTCTAACAAACCTATATATGAAACGAATTCAATTTTTTTTTGGGGGGGAAAGTCAGTTAAAGTAGTCCTTTTTATTTATATAGTTAAAATGTTTCATCATTTAAATAGTAATTTTTGATGTTTTCACTAGCTTCAAAAGAACATTTCTTTTTTTTATGTAACGCATTTTTTCACAGTATTGTGTTACTTGCTTAATTATGATTTTTATTAAAGTATTTTTTATTATTATTTCAGCTTTGACGGAGATGTTATTAGGAGCTATCATATGGTTTAGTCTTTCGACAACGGTAAGAATATTTTTAATGTTTTTATAACCTTTTGTAAACTAAAATTAACTAAAATTATTTCTTTTCATATGATAAACTTCTGAATAACAGTGGTATACGTCATTAATCCGTTCTGGACCCTTGGAAATATACGAAACGAATTTTTCCAGTAAGAAATAAAAAAGAAAATAATGAACCCGTTCTTATAAAAAATCCTATTGTTTAATTACAATACAGTTTAATATTAAAATACGAATGCAGTGGTATATAAATATGCAAATGGAGTGCAAATATATACTATGAACAAATGAAGTACTTAACATGACATTATATATAAAGATTTTTCTGATATCCAGATCAAAGTTAAACTTTTAACAAACTTACACGTCACTGGTATTTGTTTGGTAATCGATTTCAACCCCCCTTCGCAACGTTAGTCAATTTAATAACATCTTTGGTTTTCCAAAACTGTAGACACCATCGTACTCGGCATGCAAAAGCCATGCCCCGGGTACGCGTGTCATCTTCCTACTTTTCAACAATCTCTTTTTCCCCCATATGGATAGTGATCCTAACCATTTTCTTCGTTGCGTGATTCTTCTCATTAACTTTGCTAGAACTCATTGGTAATGAATTTTCAAAAGGTTTAATCGAAAGGCACAAAATCACTTGAAAATTCAGTTACAGAGCGGGTTGCTTAACGAACAGTAGCAAAGCTCGTACTGAGGAATCGTAACAATAAGTAAGTGAATATTAAAGTGCGCGTGAATAAGTAAGATGCGTGCAATCGTAGCTCATCGAACTCGAGTCGTATTCCAAACAAGAATTTTAGCGTCCAAACAGGACGCGTACCAAATTGGACGTATATCAAAACGGACGTATTATTCACAAGCATTATCCCACTACTGCATCATGCATGAGCTTTTGCCTGCTGCGTTTCCGCTCTGCGCCGGTTCGCTCCTGCTTAAACGTGCTTAGCGCGGAAGCCTGATCGACTTAGGGAGACACTGAGGACAGGACCTCCCAACCTCACGCCGTCCAGCAGCCCAGACCTACAAAGCAGCTGGATCAGCACCACGCCACCGGTGCCGGTCCAAAACGGACGTATACCGAAACACTACTGTCGGAGTCCTTGGATGCGTAATGGAGAATCCCACCTCGAGTTAATCAATGTTAAACGAATTTCGCTTATTGCGTTGCGTATGCCCAGAATAGAATTTGGTGAAATTTTAAAGGAAGATAAATATGGTATACGGTTGATATTGTGCTATCTGAGCGTAAACAGTTCGAGGTTTTAAAATTTGTTAGGCTGTAAGTTGTTTCATTACTTGGAGTGTAAAGATCGTCAGAGCAAAATGGCTACGCAAATTTCGTTTAAGAAGGATTACAAAGCAGGAAACATTACAAGATATATTAGCTGAATGCTTATCGATTATACTTCTGATGAATAAAAGCAACTGAGTATTTACCATACGTTCCATTCCTATATACTTTAACAAATTAAGGAATAAGTCAAGTTTAAATTACTGAATAAGTCAAATAACTGATATGAAATTGAATGTTTATGAACAAAATAAACCAAAATGAAATGAAACGGAAGCACCTCAATAAGCACATAACGAATTTCCGTAGTATTGCAATTGTAAAACAGTGAAACCAACATGACTAAGAGTTGCTTATGCTCCCCCCCCCGTAGTCGTCACATGGAGGTAGGAAGTCCTCCATGAGTCGTCAGTATTTCCTCCCACGCCAACGGTGCTCCATTGAGCATGCGCAGAAAGCGAAATTCGTTAACATTGATCAACTCAATGTGCGGTTTGTCATAACGCGTCCTGGATGGTTATGGGGTAAGAAAACTTGCTAGGAGGACCGAACTTCGCCAATTATATTACCGACACACTACTGTGTATAATACATGATGCTAGAAAATTTTTTTTATTAATTACACTGAGGTAAAAAATATACGTAACATTATTAAAGTTCATGTGTTATTTTTAAATGCCACTATGAGTTAGAAGCAATGTAATGCTAGTTATGGGAAGATCAACGAAAAGCTTCTGTGGCGTGAAATAACAATAGCTTTCAGAACTGGCTATTTGCTATGCCGTGTGCATGATCCGCGCAGACACATATATGATAACGTTATGCAGTATTACATAACGTGTTGAGAAAGAATCCCTTGTTTGCGTTCCTAGCGTTGAAGATAATGAATGATTCGGGGTTTTGGCATGGAGTTAGGTGGTGATTATATCTTTTTAACTATCTGGCGACAGTTGAACGTTGAACTGGAAGACAGGTTTGTTTACGTATCTTTTAATCATTTAAAACACAAACGCTCAGAACCCATTACGACTGCTAGGCTAGCTTCATTTCAGTTCATTACCCAAGCTAGTGCTTGCTTCACTTCCAATTAACTCGCATCATTAATAAGAGGGGAACCGATTAAATATTTCGGGGCAGGTAATTTCAAGCGCGCAGATAGATGGCGTTTGCACATTCCTACGCGCTTTTGGACAAGGGCCCTTGAAAGCAAAGCACGTTCTGCACGGAGCAAAATGGCGGTTACGAGCAGCAACAACGACGCATTTAAAAAAGCGTGAATGTCTGAAGAACAACAATAAAACGAAAAAAAAAATCGTTTGAAATAAAAATAGAGTTGCTACAAGCCTATTATTTTCGTTTCTGTCTTACGTGAGCCTTCTTTTCACACCCTTTCTAGCAATGTTTAAGAAAGGAAAATAAATAAATAAATAATATAAGAAAAGGGGTAGAGAACGCGACTTCAGATTGCTTTTCGCGATTCCTTTATCTGCAGTCTTTTAGAAAACCATTAAGTTTTTTTTTGAAAATTAGTGGCAACAGCTCTCAAAAGCGACGATCGCTTTCCTCATTCGAGTTTTCTCCGAGTACGACTTGCTGTCATCGAAGAAACAAATAATCATTAAATAAAATCTAAAAAAAGAACATACCTTCAAGAACGTTGATTGGTTTTAGATATTTATTTCGTTTACATAATTTAATTTCCCACAAAAAAAGAATTACGATAATCTCCTTATGTAATTCTAAATAAAAAGAAATAATATAATCTCGCTTGTATCACATGCAATTAGGTTTAAGTTTATAACTTAACCGTCTATAAAAAGAATTATAATAATCTCTTTATCATCCTAATCCAAGTAGGTTTAATTTTTTTAACATAACTCCAATAAAAGAAATTACAATACTCTCGTTGTTAAATTTTAGGGTGCAATAAATTGCAATATCCTCATCCAATCAGGTTTAATTTTATAACGCAACTCCCAACCCCCCTCGAAAAAAAGAGAAATATGATAATCTCGTTGTCATTCCACCCAACTAGGCTTAATTGCATAACGCGTATAAAGTAAAACGGAATACTGAAGTAAAATTGAAAAAATTATAATAATAATAAAAAATAAATAAATGCCATAAAAAAAAGAAAGAAAGCAAAGGAAGGAATAAATTAAAAAAAAAAAATCTTAAAGGTTTTAGATTATAACGGTTTACCAAAAGGGCTCTTTTAATGTTTAACATGATTTATCGTAGAAATTGTTCACAGACATGGCTCGTATAGAATAGTGAAACATTCATAGGATGTTAAATGAATAATGCATTCAAACTAACAGGAGAATATATATGTTCTGTACACTGTACAGGCCCTTATTTTCGCGGGCCGTAATTTTCGCGAAAATGAATATATAGGTGATTTCGTGAATTTTATATGAAGAGAACCGAAAGTTGAAAAATTTCAAAAGTATCCTAAGTAAAGTTGAGCAAGTTGAAAAAAAAAAGTATTTCGCGAGGCTTAAATTTTTCGCGATTATGACGGGCTCGCGAAAATTAAAGCCTTGCGAAAATAAGGGCCGTTATAGTATTTAAAAAGTGAAAAAAAAAGACATGTCAAAGTAATTCCATAAAGATATTGAATGTTTTTAGTTAGATATATCATAAATGCAATACATTTTTATTTAAATCGATCAGATTCAAAAGTAAAATAATAATAATAATATTCTCCACAAATCCATCTATTGTTTTTAAACAGTTTAATTTGTTAATTAATAACAGACAGATTCAATATGAAAGAAAACATCTTACTGGCAACAAACTGGAATGAAAAATGAAACAATGCAAATTCGTGTTTCGAGGCTAATAGGCCTTTTAGGCTAATAAACGCAATACAAAAATCTCGCTAAAAATTTAAAAAATATGAACTGTACATCACAAAGCTTCCTTGTATGGCTTATTAAATTTTTTGCTGCACTTCATTTAAATTTATTCCTTGATTTATTCTAACTTAATTAACCGATCAAAGACAAGTTGTAAATGACATCAAAAATTGCAAATTTTGAAACTAAATATCCCGGTCAATTTTTGTCGTACAGGAATCAAACTTCTTAAAATTTTATCTTTTCGTAACGAGCATAAAAATTTCCCAAATATAAGTGTAGGAACCGAAAAAATTAAAAGTTAGATTTCGTTATTTGTCAAAAATTGTTATCTTTTTTTTTTTTTTTTTTTTTTTTGACATTGTAAAAACAGAAATATTTTCGTCATATGCTTACAACCAACGCTTGCGAAAATAAGGACTTTTAAGTCGAGTAAGGGGAGTAGGTATATCTGTCGATTGCAGTAAAAAAGGGAACTGCACAACTAGATTTTATAGCAGCCCCTGTACAAAATTTCAACGTTCTACGGCTGCTAGTTTTTGAGTTATGGCATATACATTTAGAAGTCACGAAAAAGTCTCTTCTGAATCTATTTTACAATCCGTTTTGCAAAAAGAGTGTTTTTTTTTTTTTTTTTTCCCTGTGTTTATGTACAGACTTTCACACAAAAAAATCGTCCAAATGAATTCGGGAACAATTAAAATAGATATTTCCATTGAAATATGATACCCGAATGTTTTTGCTATTGCAATACTTCCTTTACTTCGTGCAAAATGAAATAAAAACTGAATGTAATATAAAAAAAATAAATACAAAATAAATAAAAAGAAGTACAGT